GAAAATTTGTTTAGGAGCAATGTTTTATAAAGGGTTTAATTGGGGAATTGGTGGTTTTGGCCAGCTGTCAGTTTTGAAGAAACCTAGAGAAAGCTATATCAGCTAATGAATCATAATCATTGGCCTCAGAAGGAATTCAAACCCTCATTAATTGGGTTTCCAATTTAAAAATTTAGGGCCAAAAAAATATTAGCATTATAGAGGTGCCATTTTTTAAACAGGGGGGTCTGAATAATTTTGGAAAAATTTAGCATTATAGAGGTCCCCTTTACTAATCGTGATCCAACATTATAGGGGCTCCTGGCCGTACTACTAGGAGCAAGGACGCTACTAGGAGCAAGAAGGTTTATCTTCCAGGAGCCACCAGAAGAGCGGACAATCGACCCGGTGAATGCTGGGACTGGGACTGCGAGGGGCGGCTCTTCCGCCGTCCGTGACCCAAGTGGAGATGAGATGGCGACAAAACGACAAAAACACAGCGAAAAAACTCCTAGTAGCTTCTTGTTCCTAGTAGCTATGCCTTTTTGCTCCTAGTAGCGTCCTCTACCCCCTGCAAAGGCTTTGACAGTTTGTGGACTTGGAGTGGACCCTGATGTACTTGCAAATCCCTCAAAGACGGAAATCCTATGACGCTTTCAGGTGGTATCCCGCTATGACTTCTCGCAGCCAGGCTGGACAGCTCAGAGGATCACTTCCCAACACATCTCCACATTGCTCTTAGAAAGCAAGGCCTTTCTTCCCTTTTGTATTTGTTTCTAAAAGCAATGGCCTCCAACCTAATAGCAATGAACCCCATCTTTGCCCTTTTGTTGTCTTCTTCTTTTCCTTCAAGGTGCAGACCAGGCCGGCAGCTCGGGTCGGACTGCATCCTGTTTGGGAGAAGATTAGGTCTGAGGACATCCAAGCAGATGACATTGTTGCATGTGTTTCAATGACACGGGAGAATTCCCACACACATATATAATATTAGATTATACTATATTTTTTTTGGGTTATACTTATATATCATACATGCGCACGGTTTAGACTTGAGCAGGTGTATGGCCATTGCGACCCACAATTCTGTGCCAGGATGACGGACATGCCCAATCAAGAAGGCCTTTCTTTGATCCATGCGACTGAGACAATGGCTTTTTGGTTGGCTGGATCATCCTGGATCTCTTACTTTCTGAAATTCCTTATGCCCTCGAGTGCCGACAGCTTGCGTCATTGAGACATCTTTAAGCGGCTTTCCAGCTCAAACCCAGTCCTGACTATAATATAGAGATCATGTGTTTTTGTTGCTTTGGAGGGAGCTACTTGTAGAGCGAGAACTTGGAGAGCTTTGGACCTTTGATCTGCGCTTCAATGACACAATTGACCTAATAAGACCTTTCTTCCTTTTCTTCTGCCTTTGTTTCTAAAAGCGATGGCCTCCATGCTAGTAGCGATGGCCTCCAAACCTAAGAGCGATGGCCTCCAACCTAATTGCAATGGCCTCCAACCTAAGAGCGATGAAGCATTTCATTTGGACCTTCTGCAAGCGCCGCCTTCAGTTGCTCTTTGGTGTTGCTGATCATGGCAGCTCTTACGGGCCCGCTCCTCAGAGAGTCCTTTCCTGTGCGGCATCGCCACAGACAAAGAGGGTATGAACTTTCGTGGACTGTAGTATCACCATTGTATCACCTTTGTTCACATGATAGGCATGCCGTTTTTTGAAGAGGGAACCCTGCTGGAGCCTATATGAGCCTATACTGTGCAGCCACCAGCAGTGTCTACGGCACAGTATGCAGCACATACTCTTGGTCCAACTCTTGCCTCAGGATGGCCTTGAAGACAAGCGAGCCTGGTGTGAAAAGAGGGCAACGCGGCAACACATGCTCTCGGGCAACACATCGTCCAAGGTGAACTTATGCCTTTGACTGCTTGTTCCTGAAGTGGTTGAGAAATGGATGCGCACCCATTCTGAGAGTTGTGTTCACGAACATTCGTGCAACAATTGGGGCCGCATTGCCTGCATTCCGCCCGAGACTGCTGCAGACATGCTCTGGCCATTTGCACTGCATGCCCGAAAGCACAAACACACCTTTCATGCGAGCGTTGCAGGAACCTGCCTGCGCCAACAGGACAGTCGCCGAACTGTTAGCGCTACTGAACTTCTTGAGTTCCACAACACCTTAACTAGATAGGTCAACAGACACCAGATAGCAAGAATCACCCATGCACTGCAATCTCCCAGAAAAAGCGCACATTTGCTCTAGGCAAACTCTCATTTTCCAGCACCTCGAGCGCCAGCCATGCCAGAAGTGGCGGCTGAGCTTCTCAGCAAGGAGCTCATTGAACGGGCGGCAGCGGGTCGGCACCAGGATGTTGATCGGCTCCTGAAAGATGGTGCAGATCCTTGGGTTGGAAGGGCAGAAGGAGCTTCTTGCTGCTATTAGTAGCTTCTTGTTCCTAGTAGTACGGCCAGGAGCCCCTAGTAGCG